GTGGCCCCGGGTAGTGAAAGAGAGCAAGGTGGGGGGGAAAGGAGCTTGCGGGCCCACCCCCGGGGTTTTAAAAAAAAGCAACCCAAACTCATCCTCCAGCTTTCAAAATTTGGTGACTCTAGCCCTTCTTTCAAGTTCACTTTCTGCGGGTTTAAACCCAAAAATAAAAGGTTTTTTCGTTCATGGTGAATATAACTTAACTTCCAGTATCGTACAGTTGTGGTACACAGTACTCACAATTTGATGAATAAGACACATACATATGCAACACTTGCCTATCTTTATTGCCGAAATGTTTCACCTGTTTAATAATCTTCTTCAGGCGATGTCTGATTTCCTGTATTCGCCTGAAGAATTTTTATAACCAAAAAGAAATGCTAAGCCCACTGGGGTCATGGTGCTATATGACCCTAGTGGGTTTAGCGCTTCTTTTCGATTATAATAATTCTTCAGGCGAATACAGGTAAATTAGACATTCGAGACAGTCGAGAGAAGTAGGTTTGAGGTGTTCAGTCCTCTCAGCCTTTGTAGGAGGTGGTCAGTCCCTCAAGCGTGACCATCCTACCAAGGCCAAGGGACAGGTAACCTCATAATTACTACTTCTATTATTTTCAAATGTTACATTCACCTACACTCGTTTCAAGAAGCCTGTTGCGCAGGCGAACTGTTTCAGTAATAAAGTTATCCAAGTGTTGCACATGCATCTTATTCATCAATGTAAAGTATAAAGATGATGTTTAGTATACTATGTTAATAAAGAATGAAGATATTACAATATTTCGCAAGAAAATTACCATCACAAACTGTTTCAACTAAGATTTACCTCTTCTACAGCTCTGTTGGGTATAACCACCGCTGACCAACGTCCTCCCTCAAGTTATGGAGCTCCAAATGGGGGTTTTGGTAATGGCTCTGGTGCCTCAAATGGAGCCCCAAGTAATGGTTACACAGCTCCAGGAAATAATGGCTTCGGAGCTTTTGCAAGTAATGGAAATGGGGCACCCTTTGGCAATGGGTTCGCAGGTGCACCAAGCAATGGATATGGAGCTCCCCCAAGTAATGGATATGGAGCTCCCCCAAGTAATGGATATGGAGCTCCCCCAAGTAATGGATATGGAGCTCCCCCAAGTAACAGGTATGGTCCCCCAACAGGTTCTTATGGACTAGATCCGGAGCTGCTTGCTCTGCAGGAGAACATCCCCGGAGGTGGCGTCCCCGGTGAAGACTACCCAGTCTTGTCTTCTCCACCAGACACTGGCTTCTCTTGTGATGACCAGGCAGTGGCTGGTTATTACGCTGACACCGCCCCTGATGCCAGCTGCCAGGTGTTCCACATTTGCCAGGACCGTGCCGTCAGACGCCAGAAGGACTCATTCCTGTGCCCCAATGGTACCATCTTCAATCAGCAGTACCTGGTGTGTGACTGGTGGTTCAACGTAGACTGTTCTCAGGCTGAGAACTTCTACTCTGTCAACGAACAAATCGGCGTCGTCCCCAGTGCTGGCTATGGTTATGGTCCTATTGCTAACAGTATTTTTAATGGAAACGGTAATGGAAATGGTAACAGGTATAATAATGGTAATAGGCCCAATGGCAATGGTAACAGGTATAATAATGGTAATAGGTCCAATGGCAATGGTAAGAGAAGAAATGGGAATGGAGCAAGTCGTTATGGCTCCAGTGGAAATGGTAGGAATGGCAATGGTGCCAATGGTTATAGAAGGAATGGGAATGGAGTCAGCAATGGGTATAGTGCTCCAGCTGCTCCCTCCACTGCCTATGGAACTCAGTTTTAAAATACCTTACTTAGCTTTTTGGTTTCTGCCACAATGAGTCTACTCAACAATGAACGAGGAGTCAATTTTGTGCTGTAAATATTTATATAGATAATTATTTTTCGGTACATATGTAACGTTTGTCTATATATTATATAATAAAAATTCATGTAAGTTGAATTCATAGATTTTTTACAAGTATCCCTTTTTAAATGCTAGATGACTGTATTTATGTGAAATATCTTATTATTATGTAAAAACATTGTATGAACCACGAGGTTTGCATATTTTCTAATAATTACTTCAAGTGCCAAAATGTCTTTGATTTTAGTGTCTAGGTAAAAGACGAAGTGTTATGGCTTTATCTTAAATATAACAAAGTATTGTATATATTAATAATAGAAATTTATGTGTAAACTGATAAAAAAATATTCGTAGTTTTCCGTATGCCATCCATCTCTTCTCATTAAATATATTGATTATCAATTAAATCTTTGCATCTGATAGTAGTCAAGTTTAGCAAATACTTACAAATATTTGATAAAAGGCAAGGAATTAGCCAGTACTTGCCACAAACTTAAGGGTGACACGGTCCATCCCATGAGCACTGTTGACATAACACATAAACGTGACAGCTACTGATAAAGACAAAAGCAATAACAGTCGGAAATTTCATTTAGACATCATTTTGAGCTGATGTGAGTTGAGTCGAGCCGAACTTAGCCAAGCCTAACCTAGAATAGGCAGACCAACTGTAGCATAACATATTCGTATCTAGAATAACTTATCCATACAGGTATTGCTAGCAGGCTTCTGTAAAGACTAGCAGTCAAAATTGACACTTGGTGACCCCTGGTATCACTACCACATCCAATTTGTTGAGGGTCTGACATCTCCTTATTGAAGCCATCGAAGCCGAGTCGGTAGAGTGGAGGATTTACAATTGCCTGTTTCTGGTTATTAGTCTGCATAACTCCCTGACCAAAAAAAAAAAAAAGGTTATAAACAAAAATAACTGGAAATTTTGAAGAAAATAAACAGTGGTCAATGTTTAAATAAACTCTTAGGAGACAAATACAAAGGTAAGATGCTGTTTTAGAAGCAACCATTTGTAGGACGGGAACTAGAGGACTTATCTTGAAGCTGAAATATTATTACTTGCCTCCCCCAGTGAGCTGTTTACTTCGATATCTAACAGAAATCCTCTACAACCGATTACAGTAATGAGGGAAGTCTATGTACTTATAGGAGTACATGAATATATGCACCAGAGAACGTGAGGTGCCTCATCTGAGATGAAGGAACATACCAGCCTAGTAGTCCAGTGTACCTCCCTCAGTGTACTTCACAGACACATGATTCACTCACCTCACTGTTCTCCTACCAGTGTAAATATATGTGTGTGTGTAATTTGTATATTCAGTATGACTTGACGGAAATCTTAACACATCTAATATTGCCCCATATAAAAGCTCTTTCTGCAGACGTGTCCTTTCTTCACTATTATCGGCAGTATGCTATTTGGGTACAATTTACATATGCTGGAAATAGGTGAAGTACTGTACTTCTCATGTGTCGAAGTGCTTAGGAATTTTTAGACGTTGGTAGTCAGTGAACTGCTTCATACTGTGCTAGAATCTACTCTTTTTATAGGGTGTATTTTGAAGGCTCTTTTGTAACTGATAGTGTGATTTTCCTTTTCATGTGGGTTTCATAGGTGTTCTTTTTATGACGTTTCTTGTTTTCAATGATTCGCGTTAGTAGATCTCTTCTTGTCCGACCTATATATTTTTGTTGATAGTCGTTGTAAGATTTGGTAAATTCTTGGAGTGACTGAGGATACTAAATTCTTTGTCTATGTCTTATTGTTGCTGAGTTTGTTTCAATAAAACGATCGACATTTATTTTATTCTGGAGCCAGCTTCATGGAGACCCAGAAGATCAACAAATACGGCGGCTGACACTGTTATAACTTCATCCCAATAGGTTGGGATACCCTCGGAGCGTGGGGCAAGTGTGCACTGAAGTTCATGAAAGAGGAGAGTAACAAACTCAATACTGAAACCAAGGATCCCAGAGAAACCTGCTTTGCAAGCTCCTGATGATGTGTTGATTGCAATACGAAAGACCTAGAGCTGTCATTAACTCCCCCTGTGGTTTTTTACATGTATGTATATATATGTCGTGCTGAATAGGTAAAACTTGCGATTTTGGCTGAAATAGCAACGCACTTCTTTCCGAATAAGGCAAGCTAAAATTTGTGTATGCAATAATTTCGCAAAAATCATTCTGTGCCTAACGAAAAAAATATTTCATTGTGTTTGTTTATTATTAAATTATTGTAAACTTATCTAAAATATATTTAGTTGGATTAGGCTAAATTAAATTACGCTTGTTATAATAAGGTTAGGTAAGTTATCTAATGTCCTTTTGGTACAAAATTATTAATTTTTACATTAACATATATGAAAAAATATATCTTTAAATATTATTGTAACCACAAACGAGTGGTACTGATCAATAACAACACTGCGCTAGCCAAGGATTCGAACCCATGTTGTATTGGCCCACCACTCTGTATGTCCTCGGACCAAGAATAACACACGTAGCTTGGCTGGGTGCTTGGTTCTTGTAGGATTGGGTGGTCCTGTGGGTTAAGGCGTCATGTGGTTCTCGCTCACAATGGCGGGCCAGTACAACATGGGTTTGAATCCTTGGCTAGCGCAGTGTTGTTATTGATCAATATCTTTAAATGTATAAGAGAAAATTTTAGAAAGGATTTAATTTTAAATGAGTTCTTGATAATTGACCAATTTTATCTATTCGGCACGACATATATATGTATATAAAATGTAAGGAGGTACCACCTCTAGAATTGGACTGGGACTTTCATCCTGAGAGAAGACAATAAACATACTTCTCCTAATACCCCCAATATTCTATGTCTTTTTTTTTTTAAGCAAAATACAATAACAAAAATACCATGGGAAGAACTACATGAATAACATCTCAGAGCATACATCTCGAATACTTCATCCAGCTCCCCGGCGGTGGACTGCGTGCGCAGAATGCTGCAGGCATTTTCCCTTCTGGATAGCAACAACACATGCTCCGAGAGTTTACGACGCTACTAGGACAAAGTTATAGCATGGTGGCAGCCCTCTGTATTTGTTGATCTTCTGAGTCTCCCTGAAACTGGCTGCCCCACCCACTCTGGCTTCAGAGTATGGCAAGTATGTGTCAGCCAACACAGTCTGATTACCATCTTTCCAGGGTAGCATGGTGACTCCATCTAGACACTTTTGGGTTTTGTCAGACGTCTGTACCTGAGGTTCCCTTTCTGCTGGGCAACTGGTTGTGGCGAGACTTCCCTTCTGGCATATAACAGACGACACCATGTAGTCCAAATTGATCAGCTGACGCCCTGCAGTAAATGCACCTATGTTCGGTAAGAATGGGGCGTGGCTAAGCGAAGAGCTACACCAATCCGAATGGCCTGCGGGTGTAGCCGAGTGCCCAATGAGGAATTAGGAACAGCTGAAAGGAAATTCCCTGAATGTGGTGCTCCTCACTGATAGGAGACGAGCTTTGTCCTTTTCTGTGTCGTTGTTGAGCAGTATGTTAAAGATTTTTTTCCACAATCGGTTCTGCCCAGTGGGACTGTTTGTGCTCTCTGGGTAGCCCTGGTCTGCTTGAAGAGTCTGCGTGGCTGCTTCGATGAACTTTGGGTCTTGAGCTCCTACAGCACCTCTCAAGTGTTCGGAGACAAACTTCACTAGTTCACTGGGAGCCATACACAAGAACAGAAATACAGGTAATGCCACCTGCGTTGCCTTGTGCACCCCTACAGCTCCCAGTCATACCGGAAGAGTTGTTTCATCCCACTGGTGGTCTTCCAGTGACAGATTCAGTGCCTTCCTAACGATAAATCTCCGGAATGCGTCGTATTCACTGAGTGTTGGGTTGTCCAAGGAGGGTGCACACCGGAAGAAGTAAGTTAGTTTTGGCAGAGTTAGACACCTCGTGAGCAGATACAGGGCGTCATGGACATCTGGATCACTTATTCTCTCCTCCATCCTGCTCAATTCATTCAGTCTGTCCTCGAAGACTGTGGCGACGGCCCGACGACCCAGCGGTGCTCCCAGTAAGATGCTCTTGGACGGGGTGGTAGAGGTTCGGGAAGGATTGTTCATGCCATTGTAATTATTTCTTGTTTTCTTTTGATGATTTCACACTTGGAGGGATTGAGAATGAGTCCTTAGGCTTCTCTCTTTGACTACACCAGTTGTAGGTCCTCTAGCAGGTATTCTTCCATACCTGCCAGAGTGCCATCATCCAAGTACCAGATACTGAGTTCTCTGCTCAGGCTGGAAGTTAGTTCTCTTACCGCCATGCAGAAGAAAAATGGAGCGAGTGGGTTACCCTGCTGAACCCTCTTGATGAGGTGATTTCATGCTCGCCAATAAAGAATTGAAGTTTTGTTGAAGCCAGCTGAAATAAAGGGAAAAAGACTTTGGAACTGCTCTCGAACTTAGGCCGCAGGAAAGTCGAACCTCCGAGCTTTGGGACAAAATACGCAGTTTTATACGCATCTTGCCAGATGAGCAATATTTTGGCGCCCAGTCAGGCTAGGCGTTGGATCCAAGCAGCCAGGATCAGGCAGGTGATAACTTTTTTTATCTCATCTCGGATATGCATCGACCAACGAAAGATATTAGAATGCTTAGACTTCACAGAACACGTGAAATATTTACATTTATCTCAAGCCGGAGGAGACTCGCACCTATGAGCCTTGGGATAAATTATGTCTGGCTCGTCTTGCAGGCTTAGTAAAGTTTTGTAACTGAGACCTGAAAATTCATTTTCATCATTAATTATTGTATAGAATATCATTTAATTGGATTATCATTCAAAAATTCTGTTTTTATTTGAATTGTAAGATATATAATGACACCACCTTGAGTGCATTATATTCTTTCTGCTACTTCAACTTTAATATTTTTTTTTTAATTTCACACATTATTTTTTTTTTCATTATGTACTTGGAAAATATCTTTAGGTACAGCCTGCGAGGTAATGCACACAGTAATATCCACTGTAGTGGCCTTCCAGGAGACAGATCGTGAGCAAGAGTGAGAGGGAGATGGGTGGGCCAGGTAGTGAAAGAGAGCAAGGTGGGTGGGAGGAGCTTGCTGACAGCCTGGGTATAAAAGCACACAAACTATCCTCCAGCATCACACTTCAGCACCTCCTGCTCTTGCTGACGAAGATCCTTATTATACTCTTTGTAACTCAACTGTTTTTGCTGGACGGCAACCATGAAGGTTCTCTGTTTATTGGTAAATACAGCCTGACTTCCAGCGTAAAGATGATGTCTGATATATTCTGTTGTTAAAGGATGGTGATAATTTGATACTTTGCAAGAATATTATCACCTGAAAATGTTGTATCTAAGATTTATCTCTTCTTTAGCTCTGCTATTCATGTTGTATGATCCCTTTCGGGTTCAGCACTTAGTTTGATTATATTAATATTCTAGCTCTGCTGGGAGTAACCACCGCTGACCAACGCCCTCCTTCAAGTTACGGAGCCCCAAATGGAGGTTTCGGTAATGGGTTTGGTGCCTCAAATGGAGCCCCGAGTAATGGTTATACACCTCCAGGAAGCAATGGCTTCGGAGCTTCTCCAAATAATGGATATGGTGCCCCCTTTGGCAATGGATTTGGACCCTCTTCAGGCAATGGGTTCGCAGGTGCTCCAAGCAATGGATATGGAGCTCCCCCAAGTAACAGGTATGGTCCCCCAACAGGTTCTTATGGACTAGATCCGGAGCTGGTTGCTCTGCAGGAGAACATCCCCGGAGGTGGCGTCCCCGGTGAAGACTACCCAGTCTTGGCTTCTCCACCAGACACTGGCTTCTCTTGTGATGACCAGGCAGTGCCTGGTTATTACGCTGACACTGACCCTGAAGCCAGCTGCCAGGTATTCCACATTTGCCAGGACCGTGCCCTCAGACGTCAGAAGGACTCATTCCTGTGCCCCAACGGTACCATCTTCAACCAGCAGTACCTGGTGTGTGACTGGTGGTTCAACGTAGACTGTTCTCAGGCTGAGAACTTCTACTCCGTCAACGAACAGATTGGTGTCGTCCCCAGTGCAGGCTATGGTTATGGCCCCATTGCTAACAGTATTTTTAATGGAGTTGGTAATGGTTATAATAATGGTAATAGGGCAAATGGCAATGGCAACCGAAGAAATGGAAATGGCGCAAATCGTTATGGATCCAACGGAAATGGTAGGAACGGGAATGGTGCTAATGGCATTGGTAGGAATGGGAATGGAGTCAGCAACGGATATAGTGTTCCAGCTGCGCCATCCACTTCCTATGGAACTCAGTTTTAAAATGTTATAATTAAATTTTGCTTTTTGGCACTTGACTGTCTCTGATTCTACTCAATAATGAATGAGGAGTTATCTTCATTCTTTTTGTAAATTTAAATATATGAATGGACGCAAATTAAGGTGTAATAAACAAGTGTAACTGTATAAACAGAAGGGTGGACTACGGGCTCGTAGGTCTACTGTTAAAGCTCCTGGGCTGAGGGAAGGAGTTCGGTTGAGCTACAGTTGATGTCATTGGAATATAATATAATAAACATTAGTTCCGGATCCTCCTATTAGAAGCCCGGGTTAGCCTAGACGGTGGAGCTTTGGGGAACTGTCAGTTCACGGTCTGCGGTTCGGGGACCCTCGTCCTCTCTTTAGTTTATTCAAAGCCACGAATGACTATTTTTCACTGCTTACGTAATGTTAATCTATTTATGCATAATAAACATTGCTGACTGCTGATTTCATACATTTTCCTTGCATCCTTTTCAAAACATTCGTTGATTATGAAATAAGTAAGAATTATTAGATTGTATCTAATAACTTGGAATATATATCACGAGGTTTTTATCTTTCTGAGAATTTAAATTAATAAAATCCTTGCAAATCAAATGTCTATGATGTTATTTTAAGTAGATTTCGTTATAGATTATTCTCAAATTAAACATATTTATATCTCATGATAAATTTACCGGTTGTCTTACTTGGTGTATTTTTTAAAATATATATATATATATATATTATATATATATAATTTTATATATATTTTATATATCTTCCTTCACGCACCGGCCGTTGAAAGGATGCGACTGACCCAGTCGACTAACACCCAGGTACCCATTTTATACTTATGGGGGGAACACAGACAACCGGTTTAAAGGAAACACGTCCAATGTTTCCACCCCTTCGCCGGGAATAGAACCCGGACCCTTACCACGTTAAGCGAGAGCTTTTACCACCAGGCCACTCCCACAATACCACCACTCCTCAACTCACCACTCTCTCTTCTGAGAAATTCACTGTAAACTTGCAAAACTTCCTCTGTGACGATTTGACATAGCAAAATAGCAAGAATATCCTCGCTATGTGGCTATTGTTCCAGTGGCTAGTGCAGTGTTTGTGGGTATACTACAAGAGACAAAAGTGACCTGGTGGCTAAAACTCTTGCTTCACACGGTGAGGGTCGGGGTTCCATTCCCGGCAAAGGAGTTGAATCATTGGGCGTAGCTGCAGCCAATAGCATACTTTTCAGCCAAGTTCCAGCCACATCAGAGAGCTTACTCTACCATTGAAAAAGAACCCCTCGCGCTGGTACTGGCTTTGGAGCATTTCGATGTTTATGTGGGCCAGACATCGCAGGTGGTCACAGTCTACAGTGATCACAACCCGTTAGTCTATCTCCAAGCCATGAAGAATTGTAATATGGGTAGCCTGTCCGAGAGCTGGAGCTGGACTTAGAGAAACGGTTGAGCTTAGGGTGAAGCTTGTAGCAGGAACATTGTGTAGCTTGCTGTTCTCGCTTCGCTTTACAAATTTTGCGTGTCAGTTGCTTATGATCAGCCTTGCTATTGTGTGATCGTTCAACAGCTCGCTACTAGTTGTTCAGTGTGCTCGCTTCGCTACGGTCAATCTTGTGTGCAGTCGGCTTTGTTGTATGCGTATTCTGCAATCGTACTGTGCATAGTAAGCGTTGTTCTGCAAATTAACGTGTTACGTTGGGGTATTCGTACTGTGCATAGCAAAATAACTTATGCCCCCTAGACGAGTCAGACCCCTGGTGTCGGCATATACTTTGCATAACCTACCAAAATTGTCCCTAAAAGCGTTGTTGGCAAATTGCTCGTTCCATTGGCATTCCTATAAACCGCACTCTCACAGCTGCGCAACTGCGTTCACTTATTGCTGAAAAAACTTATTGAAGAAGAGATGGCACATCAAACTCCTCCCTCTACGGGAGCTGGGGCAAAAAACTCTTATGTTCTCCCATGAGGAAGATGAATACACCTACGGAGCAAAATGGTCAGTATAGTGCAGCGGGGTTTTGTCTCGAGGTGAATCAGCGTCGTTGGCACTTGAGCTGGCAAAAATCACGCTGGAGCAACTAGGGAACAGAGGCATCGCAAGGGAAGAATTTGATAGGGAAAGAGAAAGGAGGCAGTTTTCGCATTCTGTAAACGATTTCGTTTTACAAAAAGCAGTACAGCTTTTTCCCCCGCTTCAATGAGGCCGAACCAGAGCAATTTTTCGAAAGCTTCGAAAATCAGGCTGAGCCTTGAGGTGGCCGGAACAGCACTGGGCAGCGTTGGTTCATACAGCATTATTGGGTAAGGCACAGGAATTTACGTCGGTATTAACTGACGCTGAATTCTTGATTTATCAAGTAGTAAAGGGACCACAGTGTTGGGGCATATACATGTATCCCAGTAAATATCGTTAAGACCTTCAAATGAACAGGCGGCAGCTTGGTCAATCCCTGGTGGACTTTGTGAGTCAGCAAACCAAAGCTTTTACCAGCTGGTATAAAGCGAGTGGTGTCTCTAACTTTGAGGAGCTGGTGCAGCTTATTCTGATTGATAACCTGCGAGTCTGTGGGACCAGAGGTTCGTGTCTTTCTGCAGGATCGTGACTTAACCACTGCATTGGAGGCGGGCCAGTTGGCTGATACCTTCGAAACGAACCGCTCCTTGTCCGAGCGGTCCCGTCTCTCTTTTCAACAGTCTGGCGTGAGCAGAGATCGAAACATTGGAGAATGAAGTGCCAGCCGGAGGGAGAGCGTCTTTCGTATCCAACCAAGTCACCCGGTGAGCCACGCTTCTCAACATATGGTTTTCCCCGCGGAGAGGCAAACTACTTATGGAGCATCTCGACAACAATATCCAGAGAGCACCCGCCAGAACGACACCACTTGCAACGTCATCGGGAGTAAAGGGCAAGCCTGTCGTCTGCTTCAGGTGCAATAAAGTAAGGTCACATCAGTTCCAACTGCCCCCAAAAACCTCAACCATTGGGAAAATCTCTAATATCCCTAGTAACATGTCCCCTAGAGAAGTAGAAAAAGGTATGGCCCCTTATTATTGCGAAAGTCTTATTTCCCTTCAGGAAACTCAGAACCAACTAAGTAAATACCTTTAGAGATACTGGAGCATATTGCTCAATTGTCAGAGAAGGAATATTACCCCTTTCAGAGAATACTTCTTTGAATTCCTCAGTTTTATTGGAAGATTTGGAGGAAATATTTATTTTGTTCCTTTGCATAAAAATTTTTGTACAGTGCAAATATTACACTGGGTACTTGACTGTAGGTGTCTCAAAAGGATTTCCCATGAAAAATGCCATGTTATTACTGGGGTTTAAAAACATTACTACTGTTAGTTCGTGTCCTGAACCTATTAATGATTAATGTTCTCCAGTGTTGGCCATAACTGGGCAAACATCCAAGGGTGTCTGGAGAGAATGTTGACTATCCTTGGACGGGCTCCGATCTCGGAATAGCCACGTTGTTTTATGAGACACACCGGCCGGAGTCTCGTAAATCAATGAACAGACCCCGATCAAGCCTTCCTATTCCCCGGTTGCAGGATTGCCAGATGTCTTTGTTTCCATGCCCGAGGGACTGTCCTTCCAGGAGGAACAACGAAAGGACCCTTCTTTAAAATTCGCTTTTCAGACAGCCTTGGGTAAATCCTCTTTGGGTCATCCAGTCAAGTATGAAGTTAAAAATGATTATTTGGTCTGCACTGAGACTGGTAAGGAGATAGAGGGCCGGCAATTATACGACAGGTTAGTGGTTCCAACCAAGTATAGACCTAGATATTAAATTTTTTAGCCATAATACGTCATTAGGAGGTCACTTAGGAATTACAAAAACCTTGTATAGAATCACAAAAGAATTTTATTGGCCAAAATTAAAGAATATCCAGTTCCTCATGATAGGAAATCTCTTCAACGTTTCCTAGGCATGATCGGATTTTACAGAAGATTCTGTAAGAATTTCTCAGATATTGTAGCCCCTTACCTCTCTTACCAGTCATAAAGTTCCCCTTTTTTTGGACTTCAGATTGTAACCCTGCTTTTAATAAAGCAAAAAGATTATTGTGCTCTGCACCCATTCTCCTGTCTCCAGACTTCTCCAAACCTTTTTTATTACAGGTTGATGCTTGTGAGTCTGGGGTTGGGGCCGGGTACTATTACAAATGGGAACCAAGGAGCTGCAGCCATAGCATACTTCAGCCAAGTTCCAGCCACATCAGAGAGCTTACTCTACCATTGAAAAAGAAGCCCTCGCGCTGGTACTGGCTTTGGAGCATTTCGATGTTTATGTGGGCCAGACATCGCAGGTGGTCACAGTCTACAGTGATCACAACCCGTTAGTCTATCTCCAAGCCATGAAGAATTGTAATAGGCGCGTTTCTTTACACCGGTTGTTTATGTTTACCCATCAGTAAATTGGGTACCTGGGTGTTAGTCGACTGGTGTGGGTCGCATCCTGGGACAAAACTGCAGCGGCAACAGGAACCTTGTCCTCTATTTTTACTTCTACCTGAGGTTCCCAGCAGCCCAGTGATGACCTAATCAAGACCGGCATAAACCATACACATGTTGGATTACCCAGAATGATATAAAGCCAACTGCAGAAATACCAAAAGGTTCACAAATTTACCAACTAATAGATGTTCTAGCAGCTGGCCTACCCCGCGGCCATCTGAAGTGATATCCACTAACATTTCACCCAACACCCATCGCTACTATTCACCTGAAGCCCACAGCCAATGGACATGGGTCAGACAATAAAAAAGATGAATTCCAGTAACCAGCTAGGACTCCTACATTGCAAAGGTAGAGGCTCGAAGGGTAATAACACGAGGAAAACTTGCTAGTTACTGCCAGCCAGGACAAACCTCATCACCTGCACCGACACCACCAAACCACACGACGACCAACAACTGATGGCCCGCCGCTTACAGTCCAGATATACTCTCTTCCCAGTATTGAGGTCATAGAAGATCCAACCGACC